TAATTTTAAAAATATTAAAAAGATTTTTAAAAATTAATTAAATCGGCCAATCAGAATCAAGCTAGGGTAATCACACCATACATGGATGGGGGTGGCTACTAAGTAAAAAATATTACGTGATAAATGGCACGCCCCTAACTCAAATTTATATAATTTATATAATTTATAATTTGTTATATATATAATTTGACTATTTTCATATTATAATCTTGAATACCCTACTTCAAATTGTAGATCAATTATATGATTAAAATACACTATTAATACAGAAGCAAAAAGTCTATAAATATGTAACAATTATATAATATTTTATTTTATAAACATATATTAAAATAATAAGTTTTTAATTTAAAAAATAATCTGACAAGACTTTTGTACTAAATTAATTCCTTTATTATTTTAAAACTTGTTCTTCTAGTTATTCTGATTCTAATAATAAAAAGATTATTAAATCTGTTTAATAAAGCTAAAGATATGACTTTTTAAAATTTGAGCAACATTTTAAAAACTATATAAGAATATCACATGAGGCTATATCTCTGGTTCTACTTAGTTGATTTTAATAATCTCACCACAGTTAGAATAGAAAATATTAGAAGAACAAGTTTACTTAAATGTTAAATTATTTTAAAAATCTTCCAAGTCATCTTTTTTTTCTCTTAAAATTAAAAATAATTCTACTAAGCTTTTATAATATTTATCATCCTAAAAAACTTGTTCTCCTGATCTTTTTGTTTTTAATGATGATATTATTAAAATCAACTTAGTAGAAGCGGAGATATAACCTCATGAAGTTTGTTATATAATCTTTAGAACGTTACTCCAAATTCTACTAGACAGATTTTAATAATCTCACCACCATTAAAACCGGAATGACCAGAACAAGTTTTATTAGAATAATAAATGGTATAAACCCTTGTTCAGATCACTTTTTAAATCAAAAAATTATTATTTTTGTAATTTCTGTACGTGTCCATAAGATGAAACATCACGTGGGACTTTAATTTTTATAATTTATAATAAGCTGGTATTTAATAAAATCAGCCAGGCTGGTGGTTAGTAAATCTCTTTTTTTACACTATATATATAGTATATTAAAAATTTAACGTTGTTACTTTTCGAACATATATTTCATAAAACACATACAGTTTACAGAATTCGAAAATATAAGATACTTCAAGAGAAATAAAAAATAGTGCGATATCACTTTTCAATAGTAATTTAATAAGAAATAAAAAACGGAAAAATCACTTTAAAAAAAAAATTGATTAGTGATCTTCACTATTTAACTGGCACTATGTTTGTGATAACCCCACTAATGTACGTACGTACGTTGTACGTTACCTTTAAACCAAACATCGGAAGTATAAAGTTCTAATTATGTAACAAGTAAGAATATACCATTTTGCAGCGAACTCCCATAATTAAAGACCAGACACCTAGCCCAATTGTCCAAAAAATGAAGTTTTTGAATAAGACTAGTGATACGAATCGAAAATCGATTAATCGTTGAGTGAATATCTACTTAAGAAACTTTCGACAAAAATTTTTAATCAATCAATCAATAAGATCACTAAATAGGCAGTGACGAATATGGGTAATTATTTTTAAAATGTTATTACGTCATATAAAATTGGTCCGGGTTCAAAAATAATTACCCATATGCATAATCTCATAAATCCATTTGAGATTAGTTACTTCCATTGCAACAAAAAACATTCGTCCCTGGTTCTTTCTCCGTCCCACAAATGCAAAAGTTCATGATCAATTCTTTCATTTCTTCATTCACTCGCTCCACCTCATACTTTAAGGTAGATGACATATTTGTACGATCACGGTAAAATTCCAATTTTTTGGCTAATTCTGGTTCCAAACTTTTAAATAACATGGACGGAGAAGAAAGAAGAAAAAGCGTAGCAAAAACAACTTGTTTTTCGCTAGAATGATCAAATGATGAATTTTGTTGCATTTTCTGAAAGATAGATCGAACAATAGGATACAATGCAGTCATTTTAATATCATTGAGTAGAGTATGGCTTTCGTCAGGTTCAGATATTTCATCTTTAAGATTTTCAATATCAGCTCGTAAAGCATGTTGAAGAGATATTATAAATGGATCAGTTAAAACCACACTTGCCACCTCTTCTAACGTTTTTGGTTTTTCTATTAGTAAGCGTTCTGGAATATCTTTACAAAATGTCTTGCCAAGTGCAGTCCAATTGACCACAGGATCATTTCCTACTGAAGACAGCTTACAGAGTGAAATTGCCCTGTGTGATGGATTGGATGAGAGAAGAAAATAACCGCGTGAAAGACCTGTTTCTTTATCCAAGGGTAACATGGAATCATATAACAAATCTACAGATGCAAAATAAGATGGATATTTAAACCTATACATAAAAGAAAAAGTCAACTAAAATTACTAAAATTCCAACAAAATGATAAAGCACCGTTATTATTACCTTGCGGTATCTAGTACTAAAGCCATATTCTTCTCAGAATTGTATGCTCCAATAGGTGAATAATGACCATCACCAGTTTGTTTCATAGCAGCTCTGGAAAATGAAATCACCATATAAACATCTGAACTTGAACAAACATTCTTCAAGTCCGCAATGAATTCTTCCTTTGATGTGCGATCTGCGCGTTTAACAATAACATCACAATGACATTTTGCTAAACACGCGAATTGAGAAAAAGTGATACCATTTTTCTTAACTTCTTCTATAGGTGTGCAACAATTCAAAAGTTCATCGGACCACCAGCGCCACGGACCTTTCCATATAGGTGCACCCTTAATTTGTAAAGCGTTTAGGACTATTGATAAAGAGCTTAACCCGCAAAAAGCGGGATCCATTTGATGTGCAAAACAACTAGACAGGTTAAGGTAACCTTCTGCATAGCCCTCAATAAGTGCCTGTTTAAAAAGCTCTTTTCCAATCGGTGAAGAAAAGCTTATTAAATGATCTGGTAACGGACGGCCTTCAAAATAGATTTGTGTTGAAGATTCCTTCTTTTGTGGTTGTGAAGGTGGAAGAGGGAACCCGTATGATGAACTAGAGGTCATTGTAGAAAGTAGACGACTTTTAGCGACTTGATTACGAGTAAATTTTCTAGGATCCTTAAACTCAGTAGCGATAGATAAAGATACGTGTAAGCGTTTGTGAAGCTTAGAGATTGGAATCGATGAGTTTCGAGCATCGATTGGTCACAAACTCTAGAGTTTCGAGCATCGGTACAAAATTTTGACCGGTGTTCGAATGTTCATTGAGTTTTTAGAATTACATAAAAGAATTTAGTACATGAAATTTATTAATTGTATTATTATCGCTATATTACTTAATAATTTGCGACATTAAAAACAACTTTGTATTATTATCGCTACTTAAAATCAGGCCTACCGAATAATTGATTGCAATTAAATTTTATTATATGCGTAAAAAATTACAATCAATTAAAATAATCAT